TATATATATGTTTGTGTGTGTGGCTGTTATCTTTAAAATTATCTGTATCCTCTGGTGTTCAGTCTGACAGCAATTACATATACTGAAAAGGATTTTCTAGCCAAGCCTTACAATGTGTCACACTCTGTGACACATCCAACCTCTTCTTCATCACAAAGGCCATAGATGACATTGGAGTTAATATTTCTTGTATTTGGGTCTGAGTAGAATCAACAGACAAAAAGAAAATTGCACTTAATTAACTATCTTCTTTGAGGGGGCCTTGGAGAGTATTTATAATCTGTCGGTTTGCCTTACATTAGAGTTACATTGATCACAGTGATGATTTTTAATTTGGAAGAGACATAACCTAAAATTACTGAGTTTGTACGGTTACTGTTCTTGTAATTCAATTTCTGAATCTGTCTTGGAAACAGTGCCCTCAGTTTTCCTATGCTAATGACTCATTTTCAGAGACAACATATTAAGTAAAAGCATGAGTACTAAACAGCATAGATGCATTGTTTGTTAATGGTTTACATTTCTGAAAACTTTGCATCTGATGTGGTAGTGGTAATTCTATTTCTCCTTACAAGTTGCTTGTATGTGTGTTTTGACCTTTGGTTGCTATTTTAGGCTATAACAATATTCTTGCTTAAATGAGGTTGGAGAAAATTCTTAACAAATGACATGAATGAATTAAAAAGGCTCTCCAACATAAAAATGACTTTTTCAATGTCTTACTTGATGCTTTGAAAACCCTTGAAAGTGTCTAGGAAATTAGGTTCATATGCAATTAATAAATATAGACTAGCCAGAAAAAAATGTAAGTCAGAAGGTGTTAAGTTTCTGATCTAAATATTCTTTTTGTGAGAGTTTTATTCAGGGCATTTTTAACATCTTTGTTTCTCAGGCTGTAGATTAACGGGTTCATCATAGGAACCACAATGTTATAAAAGATAGAAGATACTTTTTCATCATCCATAGATCCAGCTGAAGAGGATTTGAGATACATGAATGCTGCTGACCCAAAGAACAGAGAAACAGCAAGTATGTGTGAACTGCAGGTGCTGAAAGTTTTAAACCTGCCCTCAGTGGACTTTATATGGAGGATGTTGGAGAGAATGAAACCGTAAGAGATGAAGATGACAACCGTGGGAATGATGACGTTTTTCCCTACTACAATGAAAATCTCTATCTCGTTGCCATAGGTGCTGGTACAGGAGAGCTGCAGCAAAGGTCGCATATCACAGAAATAGTGGTTGATGGTGTTCTTATCACAGAAAGTCAGTCTCAGTATGAATCCAGTGTGGATCATGGCATCAGTAATTCCCATGCAATATGAACCAAGTATAAGATAGGAACATATCTTAGGAGACATGGCGGTGTTGTACAAGAGTGGATTACAGATGGCCATGTAGCGGTCATAGGCCATTACTGTCAGCAAATGGCATTCAGAAATGACAAAAAAACAAAAGAAGTAGAGTTGGGTCATACATCCCACATAGGAGATAAGGTTTCTCTTTAGTATAAAATTCATCAGCATTTTGGGTATAATCACAGATGAATAACAAAAGTCAATGCAGGACAAGTTAAAGAGGAAAAAGTACATGGGGGTGTGCAGGTGAGAGTTCAGTACAATTAGAATGATCAAAATCAAATTTCCAAATTCAGTTATCAAATATATCATCAGAAAGAGTAAGAAAAGGGGTATTTGCAGTTCTGGTTGGTCTGTTAACCCCACTAGGATGAATTCAGTTACCAAGGAGACATTTTTCAGAGCCATTCTTCTATGACAGAATCTGTGAAAGAAGAAGAAAAAAAAAGGATCTGAAAAAATGGCTAAATTAGATGACACAGCAGCCGAACCATCAAGCAAAGCCTTCATATGTGTTAGAATTAGCATCTATTGTCCCAGGACCCCAGTGGTACTGTACAAATAAATCGCCAACAAAGTAAAAAGAACCTGGCAAACAGAGTATTGTTTGCAAAAGGGTGTGTATGAGTCATACAGATATAGCATGCACACCCAAACCAGAAGTTTGGCAGGTTTCCATCTCTAATGGAAGAGTACTGTGTCTTTTCCCAGTTGGTTAGGGTTCAACCTCACATCCTTTCATGGTTGACTAGCTTTAGAAGACATGGGGCAAATGAAATAAAGGATATGGGGAAAGGGGTTGGAAGAACCTGCCTTTCCCTCCTGAGTGCTGGGACTAAAGACATGTTTGTTTGTTTGTTTATTTGTTTGTTTTTGTTGTTGTTGTTTGATTGTTTTTGTTGCTGCTTTTGGAAAAGACATACATAATTATGCAGTTCTGGTCAAGAGGTTGTCTTCTTGACCCTTGTCTCAGTTCTGCTTCTACTTGTTTCCTAAGGCCTGAGGATGTAAGTTAATTTTAAGAGATGATGACTCCTGCTTCAGGATACAATTTTTTTTCTATGGGTAATTACTGTCCTCCTAAAATGTTAAATGTTTTATTCCAAGGGTAGTTGATCTCCATGCTTTTAAATATGTTTTCTTTGTATGAGTACATATAGACAGTTTAAGGATTTTAAGAAAAATTTCAAACACTGTTACCTCTTTAATACCAACAAACAGATTTTCCAAGGTTCGTATCTCTGCCAAGCCTATGTATGATACTACTCCATACTTTGCAAAACCTGGTTCATGGCTTACAAAGGCTTTAAGAAGTATATATATATATATGCATTATATCATAACATACTTCACTTTGCTGATGCAGGCTCCAGTCCAGCCAGGGATTTTAAATGACATTTCCTGCCCATCTCCCTGTCTGCCTAGAATAAATCGCCAAGTATGTTTAGATAAGGGGCTTCTCACAAGTTATACAGTGCTCCTTTGCCAAGCAGATGCCAAATGGCTCTTGGTATTTTGCATTCATGTTCCAACTTTCAACCCCCTTGTTCTATCACACCCATTTTTCAGATGAAGAAATTCATGGACCCAAGGACACTCTAACTGGGAAGAGGAGAAATGAGGGTTGTACCCTTATCCCTGCAAGAGGCAAGGAAGTGTGGGAAGAGACGGAAGCTGATTGAATGTCAGGGCAGGGACTAGGAGTCTTCCTTGTGATGTGGAAAATAGTACAGTAAAAGCTTCCCTGGGATAACAGCTGCACCTTCAGGGCAAGGCATGCTAGTAGCTGGCACAGAGCTTGTAGGCAGGTAGCCCTCAGAGGAGGAGCAAAGGAAGCTTTAGAGATGTCCCTTGGTGGCCTGCAGGGCTCTGATGGCAAAGGACCAGAAGCTGAATCTCTACCAAGGTAATCAAAACAAAAGTAGCTCAGGACAGGCAGCCAAGACCCTGATGATTCCTGGCTCTGGTAATTTTATTTTTAGGGTACCCAATCCCTGGGAGAAGCCCAGGGCAGCCCTTTTCTGTTTTGGATGTTCAGGACCGAGGTTTTCTAGTTCCCAGCCAAAGTCCCTGGTACCTATAAATGGGCTTCCTGTGAAAGATGGGAAGGTTTCAGAGAGGAGAACCTCATCCCACAGAGCCTGTAGAAGAGACTCAATGCCTGCTCCCAAAGGTCCCACTCCCAGTGCTCATTCGTGCTTTCAAAACAGGAAGTCACCTTTCCCAAGTCCATCCCTAGAATCACAGTAGAAGAATATTCATGACTCACCTCCATTGTGCAGCATCTCTTCAGTGCTGACTGGGAAGCCTCACCTTTCCTTTAAACAGTATGTCTTGGCCCTCTACTGACTGTCTAAGCCCATCCTTCAGGGAGTTTTGGATACTGCAGGCAGCTATATCCTACCACTGATTAAAGATTATCTGAAGTTAAGAGTGTGTGGTTGGTTGGTTTGCATCAAGGCCTGACACTGCTTTACCTGGATGAACTGCTCCTAACTTGGGTTAAGGTTCTAGCAGCTGGACTCCCCTAACCCCAAACATAGCTGCAGAGTTAAAAACTGGTCCATATTCCTTATCTACCTATGGGCCAACAATTTTCTGAGCAACCTTCCCATGGACCAGACTACCCCATTCCATGGATTGATGTCTGGTTTGTGGTGCTACCCAGCCGTGGAACCAAACCCCTCCTCATGTGTCAGTATTCCATCTTCCTCCCTCCAAAATAAGCCTCCTTAACTCCAGTCAGAGAGGAGGGACCTAATTAGCTTTTGTCCTTCAACAGACCAGACATGGTTCCATTGTCAATGGCCTTCATTTTCACTTCTGTATGTTAAGAGCAAAGGTGCCCCACCAGGTTTACTACACCAACAAATAATTCTAATGAAGTGGTGATATCCCTACTATGCCTATCTATGACTTTGTGCCTTGTAGCTATTACTAGCACCTCTTTTACTCACAGGGTGTGAGGGTGATAAACTATGGTTACCTTAGTCACAGCCACATTTCCTGTCACGGAGCCACTGAGGAGCTAGGAACAGTGGACTCCTGATGATATGGCCCATTGCATGTGTCTGCCCATAGTGTGGTGCTGGGGTCTCCTGGATGCTCAGCCCTTCTCACAATCTCTGGGTCAACTGACAGATGCTGATGGTGGTGTTTGTTCCTACAAGTGCATAATGTGAGGGGGAGGGTATCTAAGTTACCATATATATGCCTTCTGAATTTTAGTTAGAGCCTCCTGAGTCAAAATATTTTCAAAATTTTATAAAACTGATAATTATTTTTAAAAAACAACTATCACATTTTAAAAATGGAGATTTAAAGATTATAGGTATGATATATAATTTTTTCAAAAGAAGTTTAAAGAAAAGAAAAATGCTTGTGAATTAAAAAAAACTTTCATGGCAACATAATAATTGTTCCAAAATAGAAATGGATGAAAATAATGTTAGAATATTAGTGTATGCTGTAGAGCGATTAGAAAATTTAAACTAAGAAAGATGTGTTTATAGCAGATCGATTACAATATAAATGTTATTAGTTTTTTTTTTTTTTTTGAGACAAGGTCACCCTGTAATTTCAGCTGGTTGTGGAACTCACCATGTAGATCAGGCAGACCTCAACCATCCATTCTGACTGGTTGAAAAAGAATGTACCCAGATACTTCTAACCTACCAATGTACTACAAGACTCAGGAGAAGAACACTTAGATTCATATTTTCCAACTTTAACTGAGAAAACATCCATGTGGACTTCAAAAATGCTGAATGATAGTCATTATCAACTGAAATTACAATCAAGTGTCCCAAGACACTGAGCAATTCTCTCACTTTGGGTTTTTAAAACTTTTTATAATTAGATATATTTTAATTATTTCTGAGTTAATATATCACTTGTTATATTGCCAAATGATAAAATATTAACCTTGGGTTTAATGATGTTTAAATGAAGACAATATTATTTCCTTTCATTGATCAAGGATTTTTGTTGTTGTTATTTATTATTTCTTTTTTACCCAGGGCCACTACCTTACTAGAAAATAGTTTTTGCATTTAAAAGATTCTTTTATTCTTTATAAAAATATATATTTAAACAAATCCATAGATAAGAGCTATGATCAATTAAATATTGTATATCAATATTAAAGTTAGAGGTAAACACGCCACATTAGTTTATAACTATGAAACCAGGCATTAAAAAGAAAGTGTAAAAGATAATAAATTTGCTTAAATGCTCCACATATAAAGAAGATAGTTCACAAAGTACAAATCACTGTAAGGAGAAAAACATTTAAAATATTTATATGTAAATTTTGATTGTTTAAAGTTCATGTTTCCCTTATCTGTTACCTTCACTGCATTAGGCTAAGAAATGTTCTTATTTTAAGTATGACAATACTTATTATTTTTGAATAAAATACTATGTTACGTCACATGTAAATCTCAGATATCGAAAAAAAAAAAAAAAAGAGAGAGAACAAAAGCCATTAGGTCAAGAGTTTGATCCAGTCCGGTAGTCTCTTCCTTATTGGCTTAACCAGATAGTCCTCTCTCTTGCAGACTGTTCTTCCTGCCTCCTACTCAGCCTCATCTGTGTCAGATCCTAGGAATCATTTCCTAGTGATGTGGGGCAATAGCAATATTTAATAAATAGTAGTAAAGTGTACAAAATACAACAGTTTGCCAACAGGGAGAACTATGAAAGTTCCCAATAAAAACCTACATCTTCAAACAACATTTATCAAGGCTGATCAACTGGTTAGAATTTCAGCGATTGTGGAGAGTTTGGAATGCTTCAGGTCTACAACCTAATAGCAATGATTCTTGGGCTATCTTGAGAACCCTAAATATCCATTTCTTTCCTACCTCTATGTCTGAACTAACATCCTGTGACTAACAGATACAAATCTTTGGGAATGTTTTAACAAAACCCTAGCTTTCACCAACGGAAAGGTTGAATGTCATCAGATAGCATGTGAGGCCTGTTGCTGATATTTCTACTTTGCTGTAATGGCCTACCTAAATGCTTCCACCAGTATATTTGAAAAGTGCCTGGATTTATGACTCTATTTATTCTGTTACTTACAAAATCTCATGAAGTTGCTCCCAGGTTGAAACATGTAATTTGGTGTGATGTAACTCTGTGTCCCCAGGCCATGGTCATATTTGGCCCCACCAAATTATCTCTTATCTCCTATGAGGTGAGAGTTGTGCTTTTGCATTGACACATGGCAATGTTGAAGGCGCCTCTGGTTCTTGGGTTACTATGATCCCATTAAGACTCCAAGAAAGTAAAAAACAAAAAGTAAAAAATTATAAGAGGATTGTGATGTATGACTAAATGCCTATGATGCAGGAAATTCTTAGGCTGCCATGATTCCCTGAGGGCTCAGTGGTACTGGCCAGTTTAAT